GTAAGTTAATGAGTGTCTCTGATCACGTGACTCTTTATACAGTCAATTTCCTGCTATCTGGAACATTCTCATATATATATATATACTGTATATCCTGCCCGTGTCTTCATGATGGTTTAAAGATCAGTCAGTGTGTGTGTGTGTATGTGATCACCTCACAGCTCCTGAGATCTTGTCCCAGTCTCTTCCCCTGCCGTCCATCACAGTAGCAGCGGAAACTTCCTGCCGTGTTCACACACTCTTCCTCACACACATCCGACTCACACTCGTCCACGTCTGACCGCAACAACAGGAGCAATTCATGAGTTCAAACAGAGCTTACCAAAACACACTAACCATCATCAGAACACCCTGATTATAAACATCAGCTGAACATTTTCATCTCTCATTAATATGAAAACACAGCATTTATAAACCCCAATTTGAGAGTTTCAAATTTCAAATGTGTCTTTAAGAGTCAACAAGAAGTGACCTGAAGTGAGACACACATATAATCTTTTGGATGACATTGTACACGCTGACATATACGAGATCAGGAGGAGAAAATAGTGAACATGAATCTTCGGTTGAATTTCCAAATCTGATTGTAACAGTGTTCATGGGAATGATAGGAAGATGTTTAAATGGATAAACCAGAAATAAGCAAGAAGAATGTTCCTTGGTCAACTGTGTAAAAACTGAAGTGGATCTTTTGAGCCGTTACGTAACCAGTTTCCTCTCAACACTTCTGACTAGGTGAAAAGTCACAAAAAAAATGGATGTTCCCAAAAGCACATCATATAATGAGACTGAGGCGTCCTGTGCTGAGACTGAGAGACATATAAGTGAGTACAGGGACATTATGATGAAATGATCGGCTCCTTCAGACTGCTGAAGGACGCCACAATCAGGCCAGGGTTATTATAGTTAACTAAAACCTTAAAATAATCTATTTTGTTACTTGAAATAAAATAAATGTTTACTGAATTTTTAAAAAATTTATTTCAGCTATTTGCCAAGGCAAAATTTCTCATTTTCAATTAGTTTAACTTGATGACCTACAATAACTAACACTGAAATAAAAATGAATGAAAACTACATGGACATTTTCTTTGGTTATCAAAACAACTAATAAAAATGACTAAAACACAACAAAATTATTAAAAATTAAACTAAAATGAAAATATAAATGAAAACCATAATTCTTATTTTCTCTATTTCTTATTTTAATTTAGTTAAACATATATATATATATATATATATAAACACAACAAAATTGACTAAACTTCGAATTTACTTTAAAATGGAAAATATTAATAAAAACTATAATAGAATATAAAAAAAATTCTCATCTGAAAATAAGCATGTGTGTGTGTTAGTCTGGTGACATGAGCGCTTGATCATGTAGTGCATTTGCTTTTGAGAATATATAAGTATCCAGCCAGTCGGTTATAAATATACGGTAGCTCTTTATAAGAGCGTTAGCTCGCTGTATGGCCAGATCCTGTTAACTCACCTACACAGCTTTTGGTGATGTTGTCATAGACGAATCCCTCCTCACACAGACAGTCGTAGATCCCATTGAGGTTTGAGCAGTGCGCGGATCCACACACATCTGGAGTCTCCACACACTCGTCCACATCTGTGGAAAAACCAGGAAACGCAGTGACACGTTCTGCTCATATGTGCAGTGACTCTACAGTCACTGCACTGCTGGACGATCTGATGTAATGTGATCATAAATGAGATGTACTGCTACTAAAGTCATTTTACTATGACAAATAATCTGGGTTTTCTTTCTGCAGTTTTCATTCTGGAGGAGAAAGTCTTTGCAGCTGTGAATAAAATGTCACATTATAAACATGATGAACAATGATCAACCAATGGCTGAAAACTGACAGGAATTTCAGAAAGTTTTCATCAATCTTAAATATTATATTGCAGCATGTGGGCAGACACACATGATACAGAAAAGGATACAGAACTACAGGATCTCACAGCTCTCTAAGTATACATCAATTATCCTCAGTGTCTGCGGTGTCTTTTGTGCTTCTCTCATTCTTTCACATTTATGCATTTTATGCTTTTATTTAAATAGACCTACACTGCATTCAAAGTACACAGTTCATGTATTCCCTGAGAATCGAACCCATGACCATGGCGTTGCTCGAACCATGCTATACGGCTGGGGTGTACTTAAAAGAGCTTAAAGGAAAAACAGGGCAAAAATGTAATAATAAATTAATTATAAAGAATACGATTAAACTAACTAAATAAAAAAAAGATTAAAAATATAAAAGTCACTGAAAAGTGCTTGAATTTCTCTCTCAAAAGGTTGTACAAACCCTAAAATGAATAATGTAATAACATTAGACTCTTTCTGCCACAACAGCATGGTTATATTTAATGTTGCTACTTCTGGTTTTCTGCGTCAGCGCTGTTTGATCTATTTATAACAAGAGAATTCTTGAATGCTTTTGAATTTGAATGCTTCTCTCTAGATCTGGCTCTCACAGCACTGTGCAGTAACAGTGTCGCGAGATCAACCTGTTTCTGAGTAAACCTCTTCTGAGCCAGACCAGTTTGCTTGTGCTGCTCTCAATTATTGGTCAGAGCTGATAAACAGTCCGTGCTGCCAGAGGCACCTTAAGATAGCCAGAGGTCCCTGGGTTTCCCCCCCCCCCCCTATATATATATATTTTTTTTTTAGCTTCCTGACAATTGTCGAATTTCAAATTTTTCTTGTTGACATGCCAGTTAACATTTACAACATTGTTCTGCTTAAAGGGGTCATATGATGCGTTTTCAATTTTTCCTTTCTCTTTGGAGTGTTCTAAGTTCTTGGTGCATAAAGAAGATCTGTAAAGTTGCAAAGACTAAAGTCTCAAATCCAAAGAGATATTCTTTATAAAAGTTAAGAGTCAGCCACACCTACCTAAAACGGCTCGTTCTAACACGCCCCAACATACCTACGGCACTCTGTGGGAAGATTTGCATAACGCCGCCCAAATGTTCACGCAAAGAAAGAAGGCATAACTTTTATTCTCGCTGTAGTATTGTTGTTTCCGCCTCCATGTCGTAAAGACACTGTGTGCTTCGTTGTGAAAGCGAAACTACTTTGACTGGTCTTCCAAAAGAGGACGATATCTGCTTCATGATGCCTGGAGCTGATCCGTGCTAGTCGATGAGGAAATACTACAACTTTGTGCTGTCGATCGCCAGATCGGCTTTTAACCGTGGACGAAGCGGAGTCGTCACATGTCCTTCCGGATGCTCCTTTGTCGAAATCGCCGACCGCGCCGTTCTCAAGCCCGCGCCTCTGCTCACTCTAACCCTCCAGCCATTCCTCATGCTAGCCCATGGGTTTTCATGTTTTTGAATCATCGCTCCAGCCTGACAGGGCATCATCACAATATGGTAAGGGGCATAACATTTTCGTCACACGTTTGAGGTATTTGGATGTGCACTGGATAGCTGGCCAATCACAGCACACCTCGCTTGGTAAAAATCGATGCATTTCAGAAGGCGGGCCATAGAGGAGAAACAATAATGTACAGTATGTGGAAAATAATGTGTTTTTTTAATCTTAAACTGCATAAACACATTTCAGTACACCAAATACACAAAATACTGTTCTTTTTAGCAGCATCATATGACCCCTTTAAAATATAAATATATGTGAATATGCAAATTCACTCTTTGCCAGAAGGTGGCGCTTGTGGAGCAGCAGAATTATAGCCTTTACTTAATAAAGTAAACACTACGTTATTACAGGCATTATACGGAGGTAATAGCATAAAGACATGTATACAGAATAGCTCTTGTGCTAGTCTTCTTTACTAGCGCACTGTGCATTCCACTCACAGTATATCGGTGGAACATACCAACTACACAAACACGAGTGTGGGGGAAACCTAAACTGAACCATTGACGGCATACTACAAGCAGGGCGCCACTGATAATGAGTGTGAACAGTATATCGGTGGAACATACCAACTACACAAACACGAGTGTGGGGGAAAGCTAAACTGAACCATTGACGGCATACTACAAGCAGGGCGCCACTGATAATGAGTGTGTGAGTTTGTTTACAGAATGCTGTTGTCACTGCTGCAAACTCTCATATTTACAAATAATTATTTGAAAAATATAATTTACCTGCAGCCAGTAGGCCCCCTCCCAAGTGTAGGCCCCTGGGCTTAAGCCCGTGCATTAATGCGGCCCTGCGCAGCTCAAACGAGTAGCGCAGTTTAGTTACGCTTTTATTTCGTTTGCCGTTTAATGTTTCTCATATGCAATAGAAATGGCAGTGCTTATGAGTTGGGCAATGCGGTGGTCGCATCAGTGTGACTGCTCACAAAATGTTGTTTTCGCGCCGCCAGAAAAAATAGGTTGCAGTCTGGAGCCCTGATGCATCATCTGATATGAGCACAGGTCAGCAGAAGAGCAGCAAGGACAGGAAGTGCTGCATCACAGCATCAGTTTCCATTCACATCTCCAATGACATTCAGAGCAAATCATCAGGAACAATAAGTTATTACAGCAACACTCTGTGACGACAGATCGAAATGTTACAGATGCTAAAACGCGACATCTTCAAAAAAATCTAGGCTCATGTGTAAGGCTCTCAGAAATGCAGTCTTTGAGAATATGAAATATGAAACCATAAAGGAGGTGTTCAGATACTGTCTGTATGAATTGCATTTTCACTTAGTTTTTAATTAAATGAGCAGATCCAGAGAATAATATGCACCAGTATCTTTAACCTGAATGCATGTGTCTGAAGAGCTGATGTGTATTTGTACCTTTCTCACACCTGACGCCACTCCATCCCATGAAACAATGACATTGGAATTCACCCTTTTTGTCCTCACAGCGCACCGTCCCGAAATGATTGCAGGGGTTCGGGGAACACTGGTCTGGAATGTCTGTGGGACAGACAGAGAGAGAGAGAAAGAGAGACAGAGAGAGATCATCATCATCATCAACAGTAAAACCATAATGAGTCACAAAACACATTCTGCTTCTCTAATGTGATGTTTGAAACACATCAGATATGAAATCCTATAACTGTATGCTTTTTCCTGTAGCTGTAACCTTCATCACATTACATTTACATTACATTTATTAATTTATCAGACACTTTTATCCAAAGCTTATATACAAATTATGAATACAACAAGGCAAGCAATTCATCACAGAGACAATAAACACGAGAAGTGCTAGTAATGCAAAGTTTCAGACATAGTTATCCAGCATTAAATGTCTGTGTGAACTACTTCATGATTTTAGAAAAGCTGCATCACTACAACAGCAGCCTATTAGGTAACACTTTACAATAAGGTTTTAAAACCATTTGTTTTAAACACACCTGTAAATAATTTATTAATCTTAATGTTAATTTTAACATTTACTAATACATTATTCAAATCAAGTTTCATCTGATAATATTATTTGATGTCCCTGAGCTAACATGAACTGAAATTGAACAGTTGTATTTTTATGAATTAATGTTAACAAAGATTAAAAATACTGTGACAAACGTATTGCACGACATACACGCTTAGAAATTTGGAACCTCAACATATGTGTCATGTAATAATGTCAAGTCGAGTCAAGCCACCTTTATTTGTATAGCGCTTTATACAATACTGGTTGTGTGTCAAAGCAGCTTTACAGTGTCAAACAGGAAAATAGTTTTTTTTAATAATGCAAGAAGACAATAACAAAGAGTCATTTTTCCGGCTAAAGTCAGTTCATTGATGATTCAGTGATGTCATCATCTAGTTCAGTTCTCTTCAAACAGAGTCTGTGCAATCAGTCAAGCGTCCCCAACTAAGCAAGCCAAAGGCGACAGTGACAAGGAACCAAAACTCCATACTCAATATTATTAAGCATACATACATACATTATAATAATGGCTTGTACATTTGCTTTTTCCATATATTTTATAATTGTATAACACACTGGTCAACTGACTGTTGTTTTTAATTCTGTTTTATGGTAAAAAATAAATTGCCTTGCCTTACTCATTGTTTGTTAATATTAGTTGCATTAACAATCGTTAAGTAATTAGATCTTCTAGGAAAGTGTTACTGTTGGTTTTAACTAACATCCCACATGGTCTAGATCAGTGGTTCCCAACCCTGGTCCTGGAGGCACCCGAACACTGCACATTTTGCATGTCTCCTTTCCCTGACACACCAATTTCATGTCTTGGAGTCTCTACTAATGAGCTGATGATCTGAATCAGGTGTGTTTGATTAAGGAGACATGCAAAACGTGCAGTGTTGGGGTGCCTCCAGGACCAGGGTTGAGAACCACTGATCTAGATCAGCGGTTCTCAATTCCAGTCCTCGCGTACCCCCGCTCTGCATGTTTTGCACGGCTCTCTTTGTTAACACACCTGATTCAGATCATCATCTCGTTAGAAGTGAGCTCCGTGCATGAACTGTGTTCCGATTGACATGCTCCCTACACAGTGTCCATTGCTCTCTACTCCCTGAGCAGGGGAAATCCGTTACTTCACTTCAGAATATTAATTTACAGATTTGCGCTGCGCCGCTGCGTGCTCCCTACACAGTGTCCATTGCTCTCTACTCCCTGAGCAGGGGAAATCCGTTACTTCACTTCAGAATATTCATTTACAGATTTGCGCTGCGCCGCTGCGTGCAGCGTCTTCATACACATACGAAACTTACTAGAGAAGCGTGAAGTGGGACATAATATACCTCTGTAAATGTCCACTTCGCAGGGCACTTACAGTCAAATATAACAAACGTCTGAAGCAATAAGAGAAACATACAAAAGGTGCAGAGCGGGGGTACGCGAGGACTGGAATTGAGAACCACTGGTCTAGATGATGTCAGCTGAAAATGCAAGTCATTTCAGAGGTGGAGTAAGTTATTTCATTCAGCTGAAAGATTATGAGAACATTAGTTTTCTTTATAAAAATGTCACTGATGAATAATTCAAAATATAGAACACGAATTAAAACAGTAAATAGAGTCAGTGTTGATAATTGTTGTGTTGAGAGTCTTTCAGCTCTTTACACCTCTGGTTGTCTCTGATGCGTTTGCTGACAGTGCATGAGCAGCAGAGGCACGTCCGACCACAGAGGAGAGAGACAGGAAGAGCTCAGAGATGCAGCATCTCTCTCTGACTCAGGGCTTCTGCTGGACCCAGACCGGCCAATCACAGCGCAGCACGAGGCGGCCTCTGAATCAGCAGAAATGAGTAGAGCAGGACGAGCCTCCAGCAGACGTCATGAAGATCGTCACACACACACCCACCAGAGGGGCTTCACTCATTCAGATGCTCACACACGCTTCATTTACTGAGCACCGGGATGAGAACGAGAAGAGCGAGATGTTCAGATGCAAGAACAATCTCACCATGAGCTCTTTATGAAGATATATACACAGATCACTGCTTCACGCACTGCAGCACTGAACACCACACACTGACAGAGAGAACGATAGACAGACAGATGGAGAGATAGATGGATAAAATGACAGACAGACAGACAGACAGAATTAGAATAAATAGACAGGCCGACAGATAGATAGATAGATAGACAGACAGACAGACAGACAGACAGACAGACAGACAGATGGATAGATAGACAGATAGACAGACAGACAGACTTAGAATAGACAGGCCGATAGACAGACAGACAGACAGACAGACCTCTCTTTGTTAACACACCTGATTCAGATCATCATCTCGTTAGAAGTGAGCTCCGTGCATGAACTGTGTTCCGATTGACATGCTCCCTACACAGTGTCCATTGCTCTCTACTCCCTGAGCAGGGGAAATCCGTTACTTCACTTCAGAATATTAATTTACAGATTTGCGCTGCGCCGCTGCGTGCAGCATCTTCACACACATACGAAACTTACTAGAGAAGCGTGAAGTGGGACATAATATACCTCTGTAAATGTCCACTTCGCAGGGCACTTACAGTCAAATATAACAAACGTCTGAAGCAATAAGAGAAACATACAAAAGGTGCAGAGCGGGGGTACGCGAGGACTGGAATTGAGAACCACTGGTCTAGATGATGTCAGCTGAAAATGCAAGTCATTTCAGAGGTGGAGTAAGTTATTTCATTCAGCTGAAAGATTATGAGAACATTAGTTTTCTTTATAAAAATGTCACTGATGAATAATTCAAAATATAGAACACGAATTAAAACAGTAAATAGAGTCAGTGTTGATAATTGTTGTGTTGAGAGTCTTTCAGCTCTTTACACCTCTGGTTGTCTCTGATGCGTTTGCTGACAGTGCATGAGCAGCAGAGGCACGTCCGACCACAGAGGAGAGAGACAGGAAGAGCTCAGAGATGCAGCATCTCTCTCTGACTCAGGGCTTCTGCTGGACCCAGACCGGCCAATCACAGCGCAGCACGAGGCGGCCTCCGAATCAGCAGAAATGAGTAGAGCAGGACGAGCCTCCAGCAGACGTCATGAAGATCGTCACACACACACCCACCAGAGGGGCTTCACTCATTCAGATGCTCACACACGCTTCATTTACTGAGCACCGGGATGAGAACGAGAAGAGCGAGATGTTCAGATGCAAGAACAATCTCACCATGAGCTCTTTATGAAGATATATACACAGATCACTGCTTCACGCACTGCAGCACTGAACACCACACACTGACAGAGAGAACGATAGACAGACAGATGGAGAGATAGATGGATAAAATGACAGACAGACAGACAGACAGAATTAGAATAAATAGACAGGCCGACAGATAGATAGATAGATAGACAGACAGACAGACAGACAGACAGACAGACAGACAGATGGATAGATAGACAGATAGACAGACAGACAGACTTAGAATAGACAGGCCGATAGACAGACAGACAGACAGACAGAATTAGAATAAATAGACAGGCTGATAGATAGACAGACAGACAGAATTAGAATAAATAGACGGGACGATAGACAGACAGACAGACAGAATTAGAATAGACAGGCCGATAGATAGATAGATAGGTAGACAGATAGACAGGCAGACAGAGAGAGAGACAGAACAAACGACAGAATAGATTGATGTACAGACAGACAGACAGGTGTGTGGTCACTCACTGTGGACGCAGGTGATCAGATCCTGTTTCTTCTTCTCAGAGTCTCCAAACTTCTCCATACATGCTAGTGCATTAAAGAGAATCAAACATCTCCATCAGGAACTGCAGATGATTCAGCAAATCATCAATTCAGAATATATATGAAATCATTCTAACCTTCATTACAAAACAATCACAACACATAGAAAAGAGTTGAAACACTGCAGGAGACTCACCCTGATACTTTGGGTAGAAATATTCCTATAAAAGACAAGAAGTCATGATGAGAAATGACTGATTATGAACAGTATAACAGGTTTTGCTCATGAATGAAGGTGAAGACACATGAGAACTGCACAGACGGTCCATGACTGATGACTGTTTCAGATGTGTTCCTGTCCTGACATGTCGTGCTCATATTTTGTCTCATATCAGGGTGGATAATGCGTCTTGTCTCATGAAAGGACAAGGACACAAACACACACACACACACACACACACACTGCAGAGATGTGAGGTGGAGTAAAACTACAGAAGACTTCAGTCTGATTGTGTACATTAATATCCCTGGAGTATTTAATACAAAAGCATTAATGAGAGTAAATTATAAGATGTGTGACCCCAGTGACCCCTGACGTCTTCACATGAGTTCCAAGCTAATTGATGTCACGTCCTCTGTGCATTAAAGTCACGCAGCCCTTAAACTAGCTTCACTGTCCCGCATGCAGTGGCTCTGGGTAACTTGGTAACCAGCATGCTGACTCACTCACACACACTGCAGTGAGAAATCTGCAGCGTCAGAGAAGCAGGTCGCACATGCTGCCACTGAATAATGCATGCAGGGAGTGGAAATCCGACATCTCTGACACACTGCACGCAAACCTCACAGAACGACCTTCTTCACATCTCCTTGATTCACCTCGCCTCTTTTTCTCTCGTTTTGCTCTCAGGAGAGATAGTCATGTGTCTGCACTCCGCAAATAAAGTTGATTCCAGAATTTCTCATGGTCAAGCTAATAATAGAAAGTATTAGACCGCTGATGTCATCATAATCTTTCATGCTTCCCAAACATCCCCAATCCTTATTTACAGACCAACGGGATTAAATCTAATCAGCACATTCATGAGAATGACGCGTCAGACATGCGCCGCCACACAGGAATTCATTCTGTATCAAAAACACATTCCAGGCTCAGCAGTCAGTCAAAGCAGTGACAGGTCCCTCAGGGACCAATCAGAAGGCACACAGACCAGCTCATTTGCATATCAGCTCCCAGAGGAGAACAGTCTGTGTTTGAGGAATCATATTCATGTTGGGTTATTGATGTGATTCAGGTGCAGTGCACTGACTTATGGGAATACATCACAGTAATAATAGCATCAATGCAGGATGCAATGATGGAAAGAACTTATGTTTCACCTTTATATATTCATAATAGTATTGGTTGATATACTTCATTCTCATATCATCCTATGGTCAGACTGTGAGATCAAGATCGCCAATACATATCATCATGCTAATTTATTTAATTATTTTCATAGTTACTTGGTTCATAAACTCAAGGAATCGTGTTTTATTGGTTATAACGTGCGACTGTAAAAACGCGTAAAAAGAAATATGATGGAATAAATAACCCCTAATATTAATTGGATAATAATACTAGCCTGATATTAATAATAATAATATTAGTCTTGATGTCATCAAAGGCATCAGCCACAGGCTATCGTCTATAAGCACAACCTTAATTCATAATGTTATTACATATTCACACAAACTGAACACTATAATGTTTATTCAGCAGTACTTTGGTGCAATGACTAGGAACAACTAGAAAACAGGGAGTTTGTAAAACAATCAGGACAATTATCTGTTGATTAATTAGGGTTCATGATTATGTATGAGTTTTAATGACTTTACAACCACTTTATTTCCCTGATAAAGCAGCTTTAAAGACAGATGCTCTATAAATGTGACAGCCTCGCTGTCAAATGGACCACTGCAGCCCTACAACAGACTATATAGTGCATACTAACTAGGGAGCAGCACAGAATTATTACACAGGTCAATGGGGATGACAGATCACATCAAACATTAGCTGGAATCGAGTGCATCGACTAAACCGATTCATTGCGGCAGCAGCGAACTCTAACTCGTTAGTGAGCATCCTAGAGTGCACACTAACTAGGAGCGGCACAGAATCAATCCAGGTTGAAGAGGATAAAAGATGACAGATGATCGTATCAAACATCAGCTGGAATCCAGCGCATCTATTAAACCGAATATTTTGTAATACTCTTACCGTCTCAGGGTCATTCTCAAACACTTCTCTCGCCTCCTCTTTAGTGCATCTCTCCTCCACACACTCCCTCTCCAGATGACCCTGCTTGGTCTCCTCGAACACCTGGTTGGCCCTCCGGTGTCTGCGGAGAAACTCGTTCGCCTCCCTCGGCGACACGGACACTGAAAACAGCAAAAACTCTCAACTTCTGCGTCTGGATGATCTGATCGCACTAGTTAGTGCGGCACTGCACGGGAATAACGACTTGTTTCGCGTACTTACACTGCGAGGAGCAGCCTATACACAGCAGGACGAAGCAGCAGCTCGACACAAACTCTCTCATGTTGATTCTGCGTCAAACTTTCGCTCGTTCTGGATCAGAATCCTGCACAATCAAACGAGAACTCAAGCGTTTCTGCAGCACATTCAACCTTCCTCTCTCTCTCTCTCTCTCTCTCTTCTCTCTCTCTCTCTCACCAAACGTAAGCGGCAGATTCGTCGGTTTATTGGTGAAAGTTGCAGCGCGTTCAGGGAGTTCCCGATGCAGATTTTTCTCCGCAAGAGCGGATCACTGCAGTACACACTACATAAGCACTGGGAAAAGATCCATTTAAAGCGATAGATCACCGAGAAAAAACAAAAACAAATAGTATCATCATTTACTCGCCCGCATCATGTCCTTCAAACCTCTATGACTTTCTTTCTGTTTCAGTTGAACACAAATGGAGAAGCTTAGAAGAATGTTCAGGCTGCTCTGCATCATACAACGCCAACAGTGAATGGGGACTAGAGCTGTTGAGCTTTAAACAAGGATAAAATGTACCATAAAAATATCATAACAGACTTCTGAATTTAAGTTATTTTTAGATCTCATCACCCATATGCATATTCAGACTTAGCATTAGACCGTTGCGTCTACTGTAGCAATTAAATCTCACAAGATTAACCCTAGCCCTAAAACTTTAGGTGTGTCCCAATTCACAGATTTATGCACTTCTATGCCATTTTGTAGTATAAATAGTGCGAGTAGTGTATTTACACTGACAATTCCAACAAGAACTGCACTTTTAATAGCTGGTTAATGCACTTATTTAACTAAAAAAACAAAGTGTGGAATATTAAAAACGTTATGCATTACAGTTGCATTGCAAAATGCGGCCCAGATAACAGTGAACATTCTCAGAACTTTGGCTAATGTTCTAGCAACACATTCTCTTCCGTAACAATAATAGAAATGTATCAGTTCTTTCATACATTTCTCAAAACAGCACAAAAAACATTCCTGGAACCAGAGGCGTCATGCCCATTCAAAGTGAGATTTCTGAGCCAAGTGCATTTTGAATGCAGCTTCCAAAAGACAAAAATAGCCGAATAATATTTTTTATATTTGATACAATCGCACCGGTGTGATTAGATCGCTCAGTGTGGCACATCACCAGCTGCTAAAATCAAATCTGCGTTTGCTGGCTGGCGCTGAGCCAGAGACAGACGCGTTTTTACAGCGTTGCGCATTATAACCAATCACCCACGATTCTGTTGAGCTTATGAATGCAATGGCCAATCAGAGGCGTTCAGATGAGTCATCGCTCTCATCAGAAACAACAAAGTGCAGATGTGCACGAATGTAAGATATTCATTTCATAGTGTAAACAGCTTGAGTGATTTTAATGGGAGTTTTTGAGAGTGCCTCTGGCTAGACTGAATTGTAGCCTACTTAAGTAATTGTAGCCTACTGAACTGTAGCCTACTTAAGTAAAAAGTCGGGGTTTTATGTGTAGTTAATATATTACACTATTAGTCTACTTTGCCCATCACCATTGATCAAATAAAATAATCTATAAAGGTGCAAAACGCATTTACTTACACATATTAGAGAATCGAGATATTTCCAGATATAGGCTAGTTAACACGTTTGGAAATATTTCGAATAAAAAGAAAGAAAAAAAAGAAAGAAAGAAAAAAAGTTTTTTTTTAAGTTTTATAATGCTAGGACAAAACATTCTTACAATTTATTAATATTTGATATACATTTTCATAACATTAAAAGAAAACATTCGTAGAATATAAAAAATAAACATTCAAATACTGTTATATTTTGGGTGAAAATGTTAGCAGAACATTGTAAGAAATGCTTTTGTAACCTTTAAATAACATTAGAATCACAACAAGAAAACTGGACATTTCAACGATTTAGAAACATTTTAAAACAATTTTCCCACAACATTTTTCCAACCTAACTTTGGGTAAATGTTACTACTTCAGAAAACTTTCAAAAGTAATGTTTCCATAATGTTTGCAAAATGATCAAATGGAATATGTTCCCTTAATGTTTGCATAACAAAAAAGGAGTTCTTAAAACATTTAAAAAACTGGATGCTTTGAAGTTTCAGAGAACATTCAGCATTGAATAACGTTTTCATAACTTGATGGGAACCCTAACAAAACATTCTTAGAACATATTTTTGTAAGCTGGGATTGTACATAGTGCATAGTGTGTAGTGGCATACAACTTCATTCACACTGTCTACACACTGAATGCACAATCACAATCAGGTTCTAAGCCACTGAGCTCTAAACTGTGTCACAATCAAGTGGTTTCCCATCATGCTTTTTGTTTGCTCACTATTTGGCATGCATCAGCATGACATCACAGCAGTTGCATGTTATTTCTAATTGGCCTGTACCTGGCCATGGTGGTTTTGGGTAGGGCTGGTTTATCTGAGATGTGCGATTGCGACACACAGAGTGAGATTTGAAAGTGAACATTTCCAGTGAAACATCTGCTGAGTTCCACAGAATGTTGACAGAACTTTCAGTTTTGGGTGAACTGATACTTTAAGTATGTGTTCATGACACGATTGTTGATTTGCAGGATTGTCATCTGGAAAGGTACCAAATAATGTCCTCTATGCTATGATCTACACTTGTGCCAGGACACGTGAATTTTAATATCTGCACTGTAGATTTGGCCAATTAAACCTATAAAGTCGAGTGTATCACATTTGATCATGAATTTCTAAGGCCTCTAAATGATCAACATGATCAAAACTTCCGCACACAATCTACTACATGCCTTCTTTTGTCTGATTGATAATTTAGACATTTTAGCAGGTAGTATAATTGTACAGACAGTCACATTCAGCTTGTGGTTCCCGTCTTTTTTTGGTGTGAAAACTTTACAGATTTTTAAAAAGAAAAAATAATTTGACTTTCGTCTTGAAATATTTCTAACTAGACTGAAGCAGCTTAGCTTTACATATTTATCCAGACATCCTTTTTTTTTTTTAGAAAAATCAGTGAGTATCAAATATGATCATCAGGCTTTTGAGGAACGTTTATTTCTTCATCTTTCAATCACCATTGTATTTCATTGCATTATATGTTTTGATCATCAAACTAAACATTTAAATATCATCTTAAGACATTATTGGAGATATAGAGTGAAGAATGATATTTGTATCATTGCATATAAGTATCTGCTATACTTTTATAAAGATGATATTGATTTACATCAGAATTTCATTATATACATATCAGTATTCGCACCTAACTGCTTATTTTTGCTCAGTTTGAGTTTGAGTTTTTTTCCTCCATATTCTCCGTATATCAGACTATATGAGCTATAGAAGCCTGATCTATGAAATACGATACAAAACAAAAACATGCAACATTTTTTGATTTTGTCTAATGGTTTGATTAAAAAAAAAAAGTTTTTTTTTTAACTTTAATTTAATATGTCAGGCTTTATTGGGTTAAAGTATGTCTCATGAGGTCTTTACAGAGCCATCGTCATTATGTTAAGATGCAAGCATTTTTAAAAATCTGTTTTTTGTCTTCTTAATGTCCATTTGTAAAGTTTCTGTGAGTCTGACAGTGAAATCTCTCGCTGTTTTAGTGAAGGCAGACCTACATTCTAATCAGGCTGTTTGTTGATTTGACAGTGATTTTCCTGACAGTGTTCTTATGGCTCAAATGTGAGGTTACATTCTTCTCCTGCAGCTGTTTTCTCAGTGTTTACTTCTCTCGCTCTCGTCTTGTTTTTCTGAGCCAGTGTTTTCATTCTCTGTTCCTCCCTCCCGTTTCCCGTCTGTTTCTTTATGCAACATTGAGGTCAGGTCACTCATGTCCATCTGTAAAACACACTGTATATCTCATGTCAGAAATATAGCAGAGATGTAGAACCAGTGTCTGGTGTTTGAGCACTGTCAAATGAAAACAGTTCACTCTTCCACCTCTACACTGCACAAAAAAAGCCAAAAGTAGAACATTTTCTAATGATAACCGCGGCTTTCAGACTATCAAGGAAATTAAACTCAGTCACTACTAAACTGGCATTATTTAACATAAAAAATAAATATCACACTCACAAAGAAAAACAGAAATAGATATAGAATTATAGAAAATATATAGAACAGTATAGACTTAACTTGATATAGAATTATAGAAAAATACAGAAATGGAACTACATATGGAATAAAAAATACATAAATAGAACTAGACCGAAGTATAGAAAAATATAGAAATAGAACTAGATATAGAAGTACAGAAATGGAAATAGAACTAAATATAGAAGTACAGAGAAATATAGAAATAGATCTAGATATACAAGTATAGAAAAATATATAATTAGAACTAGATATAGAAGCACAGAGAAATACAAATATAGAAATTTCCTCAGAACCACATACTGTATATGTGAAAAGTAGGCAGTAATTAAATAGTTAAAACACTCATTCGTGTCTAAGATGGGATTTTGCTTCTTAAGAAGGTGAGATTTGCATTTGCATGATGATGACGACAACAACAACAACAAGCTGCATTTCATGTTTTATTACAACAATTAATGCGACACTAGTGTTCAATATCCACCTAAACATATTCACATCACATTCAAATTAGTGTGTTATATACAAGATACAAACTGACGGCTCTATACTGCGAGTAAAAACCTGATTAAAGACACATGTCAGGAATAAAAATACTGGAATGAATATGTGTGGCATCTTTAAATAGAGGCTCATGCGCTTCTGAAGCTCTTTCACAGGTTAGTCATCAGTCAACTAATGAGTGGATCAATTAAAAACACAAAGAAACATCACAGGTCAAGCTTTCTCTCTCCGTCTCCTGCTGAACCCAGAATCAGGACATTGCATCATGTGTTTGACAGAAACTCACAGACAGACGCAGCCGGTCAGGTGTCCCTGCATTAGGCTGTGATGTCATTTCCTGTCTAGCGCAGCTGGGATTCAGCGGACGGAGGGTCTGGGGCGGAAACAGGAGGACAGGAGTGAGACTTGATGCTGTTGTCTTTGCTAACAGCCTCGTCGAAATCCAGCAGCTGTCCGTTCACACTGATCTCCAGACAGCCGTGGTAGAATGCAGAGATGGGAGTGATGGACAGCGGGAGATCTGCACACATACAGAGCCAGGGAACATGACATGATGCCAGGGATCATTGGAAAAACACACTTTCTCTGTTCATTCTAAAAACGACCTTATTTAAAGGGGTCATGAAATGGAGAATCTAAATGTTCTTTATATTTACACATGAAAGGTTACTCCACAATAAAAACATACTGCAAGTTTCAGAACTCAAAACGGAGTTGAAATAGTTTTTTCTACCCTTCTGAAACGCCTGGATTTGAAATTGGCGTCACGATTTCTTCTCAACACGCTCTTAACATGCATCATCATTGTATGTAATCAAAGGAGGCGTTTATTTTTACTGATGAGCCTGAGCGACTGAAAGCTAACGTTTTCCTTTGTTCTTCACAACGGACTGTTTTGTGAATTATTCTAAACATGCTGTCAGTATTGGTTTTAACAATATCTTTTAGTGAAAGATAAGGCAGCATTTTATTCAAAGGAAACCCAGGTCAGTGCATTTATTTTTTAAAGGGGTCATATGATGCGATTTCAAGTTTTCCTTTCTCTTTGGAGTGTTACAAGCTGTTCGTGAATAGATAAGATCCTTAAAGTTGCAAAGACTAAAGTCTCAAACCCAGAGATATTCTTTATAAAAGTTAAGACTCATCCACGCCCCCCTAAAACGCCTCGTTCTAACACGCCCCCACATATCTACATCACTGTGTGGGAAAATTTGCATAACACCGCCCAAATGTTCACGCAAAGAAAGAAGGCGTAACTTTGATTCTTGCTGTAGTATTGATGCTGCCGACTCCGCCATGTCATCAAGACGCCGTGTGTTTTGTTGTGAAAGCGAAACTACTTTGTTTGGTCTTCCAAAAGAGGACACAACTAGAAATCAGTAGTTAAGTTGTATTTACAACACTGTTCCAGAACAGTTCAACCCAAATATTCAGATGTGAGCAACGCATTTTACGGAGGACGAGGACTGTTTCCTGGGAGAGTAGACATCAATGCCAGTGTTCCGGTGAATTCAGTTCCCATGTTTCCCCTTCGGCCACTGGATGCAATAAATGCCTCGTTTATAATGGGTTTTAATGTTTGTCTCGTCGCTCCGGCCGGACAGGGCATCACAATATGGTAAGGAGCGTAACATTTCCGTCACATGCTTGAGGTATTCGGCCAATCACAACGCACTGGATAGCTGGCCAATCAGAGCACACCTCGCTTTTTCAGACCGATGAGCTTTGTAAAAATCTACGTGTTTCAGAAAGCGGGGCATAGAGGAGAAACAATAATATACAGTATGTGGAAAATGTTTTTTGAACCTTAAACTGCATAAACATTTCATTACACCAAATACACAAAATAATGTTCTTTTTTAGCAGCGTCATATGACCCCTTTAATCTTAGAGTATGTTTGTAATAAACATCAAACCATAATGCTATTATGACACCAAGCGTATAATTTTTTTTAGTTTTAATAATTAAATCTGTGCAAACTGAAATATCAGAATCAGAACAGAATATGACAAAATGTTTCCACTAAGCATGAAAGATGCAACCAAAAAAACGGTTTATCTGTTGACAAATGAATGAGAAACAATATGATTTCTTAAAACTACTTAAACTTCAGCTTAAGTGTCTTTTTTATTACGACAATTAATAATAGTACTTTCAAAACTATATAGCAATAATGAAGAAGACCATTGCAATCACTGTGGTTTGCTTGTTTGAAATTCTTCTGCCTTGAGCTCAAACATACACAGCTATCTAACTATCAGTGCTTGCCCTCTTGAGTATCAAAACACACGACATGCTATAAATGAGGGTGTGGCTACGGTGAGATGAATCAGCCAATCACAGCAGTGGGTGTTTACTTCTGTTTCTGAAAGAGGAAACACTCCTTCAAATTGAGTGATTTTTCACAAAGAGGTAAAGTTGGGATGAAAAATTATTTTTACAAATATTTTACCCTTTTGTGGTGCAAAAAACTTAATCATAACATAATGTACCCACTGTAAATAACCTGAAGCTGCATTTCATGATCCCTTTAAAGCAAAGCATCATGAATCTAGAACTCGACTCCTTAATGTTCTGAAATGTTTGACATGAACATGATCAAGCGGAATCAGATTCTGAACTATAATACGCTGCTCTTGACTGACGTCTGACTGGGTTTCCCACCATCATCTCCATCTGAATCAGTCACACAAGCACAATCCAGGTTCAGATGTTTGTGATGGACAGACAATCTGATGTTAGTGCTCTAAAACCATTACAAGACACCACAGCTGATAGATTTATTGATTTGATGTCCCGATGAAGACGATTAGATGCCAGTAACAGAAGAAGAGCTGACCAGCAGCTGTTAGTGAATGAATCTGCACTAATACTGCAGAAATACGGACTTTTACTGTGCTAGTTAATGATTAACCACTGGACCAGTGTTATTTTAGTATCGCTGAAATACTATTGTAAATTTTACAAATATTTTTAATTAGTTTTTTTTTTATATTTTAAATTTTCACTTTAGTTATAATTGGTAATTTTGTTGTGTTTTTGTCATTTTTGTTTAAAAATGTCTATATAGTTATTATTATACATTTTTATTTGAGTTTTAAATTAAAATTTCTGAATTACCAGCTAATATATTTAACTACAGTTCTAAGATATAAAACTTAACCAGTCTTATTTTAGTATTATTGGCTACTTTTATAGATTTTAATATTTTGAATTAGTTTTTATTTTTCTATTTTCATTTTAGTAATTTTGTTGCGTTTTTGTCATTTAAAAAAAAATGTCTATATAGTTTTTAACATTTATTGGGGTTTTACATTCACATTTTGCATTACCAGTTAATGCGATAAAATGCCATACTAAAGCCTGAAGATTACAGTTAACTGTTTATACATTTGTTTATATTTTGTATCATTTTCATTTATATATTTAATATTTTCATTTTACTTCAGGTTTTAGTAATTTTGTTGTGTTTTTAATACGTTTATAACGTTTTTTTTAAAATAAATATTTATCTGAGTTTTACATTTATATTTATGCATTTGGCAGATGCTTCTATCCAAAGCAACATACCAGTGTTATTTTATCATATTTTGTTTATTTTTTATAGAGATACTATTATAGTTTTAGATACTAATAGATACTATTAAAAGTAAATTTGTAGTGTTTTTGTTATTTTTATTTCAAATGTGTCATAGTTTTTATTAATTTTAATTTCAGTTGTAGTTTTAATTATTTTAGTACATCAAGTTAAACTAAATGAAAATGATAAACGTCGCCTTGGAAAACTAGATGAAATAAAATAAATTAAATTTTTTTATATTGTATTTTATTTCAGTTAATATTTATTAGGGATGCACCGATACCACTTTTTTCAGAACGAGTCCGATACCGATACTTTCATTTTTGGTACTTGCCGATACCGATACCTGTATTTTCACAGCATTTGTAATTTTTTTAAATATTGGGTACAGAAACAAAATAATAGTAATAATAATAATAATAATAATAATATGAATCATGTTAGTTGGCTTCATTTAGCAAACAGATATTACCTTCCTTACCATAGTATCGGTATCGGTACATCCCTAATATTTATTTTATTTCAAGTAATGAAAATGTTTTATTTTTAATAGTTCAAATTGTTTTTTTCAGAATCAGGCTAAAAATTAAGTAAACAAGCTGACTGACCTGGAAGTCCTCCTATGTAAGTGTGGACGTGACCCTGCATGGCACTGTTGAGTTTGGATAAAGCCATGCTCAGGGTTTCAGAGTCACTGTAGGACACGCTGGAGGAGTTTGCTGTGATGTGGAGACCATCAGCTGATGCTTTCATCTCCACCACCAACCAGTCCGGATAACACAGCATCAGAGTCTGCAGCGTCGCCACGCAGATGCCGTCCATGAAAACCTGCAGATTCTGCAACACATGAGCAAGAGACACGCGTGTGTTTAGTGTGTGCCGAGACTTCACCAGGACGGGACATCAGCGCTGAATCTTACCGCATCATCAGGTCCTTGCGTCACCACGGCAACGGACAGAGGGACAGAGTGGTTGCTAACCAGGGCAAATAATACACCGGTGCTGCTGGACGGACGGATGTTCATCACAACATCCAGCTTCCAGATATTTGTGCTGCCTAAGACACGAACGCACATGTCAGTAACTCATCCATCTACAACAGAGTTAAAGCTTTACTCATTCGTTCATTAATGTGCTTATATGTAGCGATGAGACTTTTGTCTTCTGTAGAGCTGCATTTGAAGTTGTTCCATAATTCTAAAACTCTGCAACATCAGATGTGCATAACTGATTAATTCTGCAACATTAACACGGGTTCTTTCCTATTTATTACTGTGAAGCTGCTTTTATATGTATAAAAAGAGAGAGATAGAGAGATATTAATTTGATAAAAAATATTTATATGACAAAGCACAGAAAATAAAACTAAAATGAAAACTGAAAATATAAAAATATTCAAAATATTAGTAAACACAAAGTAAATAAATCATACTAAAATTATATTGATAAAAATTACATATTGTTTTTATAATAATACTTACAATTAATTTCAAATATTTTAAATGATTATTTTAGTTAAAATGTTTGCAAAAATTAAAATGAAAACTGAAAATATAAACATAAAAAGTCAATTCAAAATATGAATACTATAATAATAATAATAATAATAATAATAATATATAAATCATGCTAAAATAGCACTGATAAAGGGAGCATAAAATTTTTATTTATTTATATTCCAGCTGCTTTATAGCCAAATTAAATTTGTTTGATAATTAATGAACACTACAGAAATAAATGTAAAAGTGTATTAAAAATGTATAGAAATAAATGTGACTTGACTTATACAAAGAACTTGTGCAAAAAAAAAAAAGCCGAGTTTAGACTGAATCTCCTGTGGTAATGGATGTGTTGCAGACACTCTTTAAAGAGCTTTAATTGTATTTATTTCACTGAACTCACTATAGTCGATGTTGAAGAGTGCCAGGCCTCCGCCGCTGAAGAAAGAGCCTTTCTCCACATGCACATAACAGTGTTTGCTCTCCTTCTCCTGAATCACCTCCTTCACTCCAGACGCGCCCTGATTCATCAGATTCCAGCCACGGATGCAGCCATCCAGCCTCGGGTTGATCTGATCCACAGCGGCACAAACAAAACACACATTCAGTTCATTCACCAACCAATACTACTGTTAAACACACATTACTTCAAATAAAACAAACTAAATTAAAATAATGTCCATCATTTAAAATAATGTCCATCATTTAAAATAATGTCCATCGATTTTAATTATTATTTTTTTTTACATTTAGCTTTCATTTATTTTTATTTCAGTTCTAGTTTTAGCAATTTTAGTACTTGAGCTTAAAATTATTTTATTTCGACTAATTGCGAAAGAAAACATTTCTTATTTTTATTTACTTTAACTTGATGCACTAAAATAAAGACTGAAATAAAACTTACTAAAGACTATACATATTTAAAAAATAAAAATGACAAAAACAACAATATTGCTAAAATTTTAACTAAATTAAAATAAAATTTAAAATGTAAATAAATAAAAATGTTATGCTAAAATAAAAATAAAAATGTATTTAAAATATGAATGAAAACTATAGCAGCATCTCAATTACACTAAAATAACACAGTCACTGGGGTGAATCTCATGAAAACAATCAAGACCATGACCAGCTCATACTTCATCCCCAAAATCATGAGAAACACACAAAATAAAAAATAAAATTATAATGCCAAAAACACATTTTTCACTCAAATTCAAAGTGGAAAGCTGAATAATCTTCTCATTAATGAAATGCAATGCAAAAAAAAAAAAGATTAAAATAATCCATTGGTAGAAAAGTGCAGTTGAGAATTTAGGGTTACAAAATGAAAATATTGCACTGATTCAAAAAAATTAAATAATTTTTGAAGTTTTGTAAATGCTAATTGCATTTAAAATGTGTAATGACGCGTCAGGTGTGTGTTTGAATTCTCACTGGTTTGATGAGGCTCTCGTTGCGATTAGGCAGGCCGGCAATGTAAACCTTTATATCCAGTTTGTCGTTGACGAGGCTGAAGAGTCGCTCAGGACTGTTAATGCTCATTATGGCCTCTTTACTGATCTTCACACTGATGCTTCCCATCAGCTCCTCCACAGAGATCTACAGACCACAGCAAACACTTCACACACAAATCCAGAACCGACAGAACCTCACATCCAAACGCCACCGCTTAAACGTCAGGGGTCCGTACGATTGTTAAAGTGATAGTTCACCCAAAATGAAAATTCTGTCATTAATTACTCAGTATAGAAAATTATGATCCGCACTCATGAGAACAATCTTCTTTTTTCTTTTATTTTACATTCATTACTAATGGGACCTTCGTTCATCTTCGGAACACAAATTAAGATATTTTTGATGAAATGTGAGAGCTCTCAGACCCTGCATTGACAGCAACGCAACTGTAATGTTCCCAGGTCCAGAAACGTAGTAAGGACATCAGTAAAACCGTCCATGTGACATCAGTGGCTCAACTTCAGTTACGAGTTACGTCTTCCGCCATTTTGGAGAGTACCCAAGAGCGTAATCGACGTAATCAGCGTTGTTTACGTTCGGAGGAGAAAGGCGTGCGCATGAACATAATCTGCGTAATTAGCGTTATGCTTAGGGGAAAGCGTGCGTATGTGTTGTGATACTCCAAAATGGCGGAAGACGTAACTCGGGGGGAGAAGAATTGTTAAATAAATTGTTATTTTTGTTTTCTTTGCACTCAAAAAGTATTCTCGTAGCTTCGCAAAACTGAAGTTGAGCCACTGATGTCACATGGACTGTTTAACCGATGTCCTTACTACGTTTCTGGATCTGGGAACATTACAGTTGTGTTGCTGTCTATGCAGGGTCTGAGAGCTCTCACATTTCATCAAAAATATCTTAAAGGGGTGGTTGATTGCGATTTCACTTTTTTAACGTTAGTTAGGGTGTAATGTTGCTGTTTGAGCATAAACAATATCTGCAAAGTTACGAAGCTGTAAGTTCGATGCAAACGGAGATATCGTCTTTTAAAATTCTGGCAGTTTAATGCCTACAAAAACGGCTGGTAGGGACTACAACAAGTTACTTCCCGGGTTCGTGACATCACAAACCCAGATAAACCCCGCCCTCAGGAAAAGGTAGCAAAGGGGGCGAGGCCATGCTGCGCTGCTTTAGAGAAGAGGAAGAGAAAACTAGAGGTGCACGTAAAAGTCTATTCCTATTAGGGGTTGAACGACTTCTGATTTTTTGAAGTCGAGTCGAAGTTGACTAGTCGCTGATGACGTCATTAATGAACAAATAAGTCTGGGGCTGTGACAAACACCTTGTGCACAGCTATGGCATATGACACAGCACTGCCCACACGGCTATTGCTCCTATAACAGCTTTTTTATCAGTTATTTTGTCTTTAAGTCGTTATATTTCTCACAGATTTCTGCTCGTTCTAAATCAGATACCGATAAAGTAGCACAGTAAAGATTACATTAATATGAATGCATTAGTGAGAGCGATTGCGTGTGTGAATTAATTATACCTGGCAGCGTCTCTCTACTAGTAGTGAAGCTGTGGAATTTAGTTATTAAGAAAAATATGCTTGAACTTTTCAGTTTCCAAGTGTTGACAATACATTTTCGCGCTGAATGATTCTGTGCGTGTGATGTACGCGCTACTGTCTGTAGTCTATG